ACAAAATGCTATTGAAAATATGCTAGTTCCAGTTAACTTGATTCGATTACTTAATCTCTGATAACAAACTTTGGGCATTGAGTCGCCAGTTCTCGGGCTCTTCTGACTAACAGAGAAACAACCGTGTAATATGTAACCCCCACCCCTACACCAAAAACAAAAAACATTGAAATAAATACAGGAGGCCACTTATCTGTAGAGTCCGGAGCTCAGTCGGAAAGGCCAAAGACGCGATTGTCTTCACAGATTACTGAGGTAAACACGTACATGGATTTGTTCATAGACAGTTTTTACTTCTTATGAATAAGCATATATACTATATATATGGTATACTATTTTGGAAAATCTATAAATTGACAACAATAAACAATTTTTTTTCGGACAGTTATAGGCGTGTCTTTTTTTTTTTAACATTAGTATTACGCAAATAATTTTTTGTTTTGCTTTATCGTACATGATTTTTTTTTTCGGCTAACGCACCGGCGCGACGTCACATCTTTGAAGCGCTATTGTGACGTAATTACGTTTATGTCACGAAGGTCCCTTTTCGCTTGAGGCAACTCATATTGATTTAGTTTGTATCGAATTCATACAATTATTTTGAAATCTCATAAGCTTGATTTTTGCAAGGTTATAAAAAAAACCGTCCACTATGGCTAGGGTCTCAGATGAGTTTGCTTTTGATAAAAAAAAATTCAAGCAAATATCATACATCATTCTCAAATTACGGGGAAAAAACAATTCTAACACAATTCTAATGTATTCTTTCCAATTATTTGGATTAAGATCAAATATATCAGTTTAGTATTAAAAAGCTTAAATGCATATGTGACTCTTCCCTTAAAAGGAAGGGGGGGCTATGATTTGAACAAAATTGAATCTAGTCTACCTTAGGATGCTAACCTATTAAAGTAACTGGGACTTTTTCTCCTAAAAGTTTGAACTTTCATTGTGGCCCCACTCTACCCCTGATTTAAACAAAGAAGATGGGGGAATAAGGCGGGCAGAATGCCTATAGTGCGACAGCTAAGAAGTGAAATTTTTAATCTTAATTAAGTCCAAATTTTACTTGATATTTCATCTAATATTAAAGTATACTTTATGTAAAATCTCTACAATTTACAAAAAATCACAAGGACTGAAAATATTTGCCTATGAAAAAGCTTACACACACTAAAAAGAACAAAAACGATCATTTTCTCATACTTAAACAAAATTTTTCAATATGGGTGGGTCTTCTCTCCATTTTTTTGAAAGACGATGCTAAAAGTGTGCAACAAAATACACATTTTTTGGTTTTCAAAAACATGGAGCGAAGACCCACTATACCTTAAAAGTATACTTTTATGACACAACATTAGCATCTTTCCGAGAAATACTTCAAGTCCATCAAGTCGCGGGTCATATCACAAACATGATTTAAATGCCTAAAATCACCATGAGTAGTGTAGCATATTGGTTAACGAGTTAGACTCATAGCAGTATGCTATTGATACGTCGGATTTTTATTGCTAGGGTTCGAATCCCATGAATACCATCTAATAATTTTATGAAAGAAAATTTTTTACGAAATTTGCTCTCAGAAAAGTTTTTTTTTCTCATAATTTCAAAAATTTCAATAATTAGAAGTTAATTTAAATAATCAATTCACATATTTGAATATAATTTCTTAATATCTGACGCTATAGGCATTCTGCCTGCCTTGTTCGCCCATCTTCTTTGAATCTATACTATCTGAGGATGCTTCCATACTCATATGACCAACCAGGGCTTTACTGTTCTTTTCAAGATTTTTCTTATATACTAGTACATGTATTCCTATGTAAACTGATTGTCCAATGTTGCCCCCATCCTACCCCTGGGGGTCATGATTTGAGCTGAACTAAAAACAAAGAACACTCATATTGTTTATGTTCATTAGTATAATTCACAAAGAATAAACTTCAAAGTCTCTCTCTCTTCTATCTCTCCACTCTCTCTCCTCTCTCTCTCTCCCCCCCTCTCTCATGTCTTTGAACTTATTTTCTGAGCATACTGTAATAACAAGTCATGTAGTTCTTTAGCACTGTGGATCTGCTGTCTCACTATGGCCTGATATTGGGGGTATTGCATTATCCTCTGTGTAGTTGGTAGCTCCCCTTTCTCATTGGGGATGTTAACACAGGCAGGGATAAATTTTACTGTGTCTGCATTCAATTGACTACCCTCCAGTGCAAGTCTCTGAGTAAATAGAAAACAAAATTCTTCATCTTCAATTATGTTTATTTACCAGATCCCAGTATATGCCATATGCTTAATTTCTTGAATATATTGTCTGTTTTTATTTAGATACATCTAAATAATGAAAATAATTAAAATGGAATGTTTTTTCTTTCTTTGTTAGAAGAAAAATTAACATTGCAGTTATTGCAGTCAAAAAAAAAATTCTGCAACAGCTGCAGCATTAATTCCATACTTACAACTTAAGGAATATTTTATTGCTTAAATTTACAAGATATGTACCAGGTTTTAACCTTTTACATTGAAATTTAAAACCCATCTGCAACAGATGTTCTTGATTTTAAAAAAAAAAAATTATTTTCCTCTTCCCCTTCAGTAATGTTGGATATTTTTATGGTCAATATCAAAGCATATTAATCACCTTAAATTCTACAATTGAATTTAAATATAGAAAAAAAAATTTCTTGGTCAAATCCTTTTGAAGAAAAAAAATCAAAGAGTGATTCGGAAGTTAAACATACCAAACTAATTTCAACTTGATCACACATTGAATAGAATTCTTCCAAAGATTTTTCAAATTTCTGGAGTTGACTCTCAACACTTGACCTGAAATAACGAGATTTTTTTTTTAATTAAAAATAATAAGGTATTAACAATTCAATGAATATGACTCTAAAAAGTTAAAACTCAACAGCATTTTAGCAAAGATTTTTTAAAAAAGGTTTTAGGATATTGATAATAAAACCAACAATAACTTACATGCTATCCTCAAGCTGTTGTGAATTGTGATGCAAACAGGTGCCGGCAATTTTCATTAAATTCTGAAAATAGTATTAAGAAAACATTCATCATACATGTAGAATGTTCATAAAACATGCATACAATGATAAAAGATTTGAGATTAAATCACAAAATCTTAATTTAATTAAATCTTATCACAAGATTTAAGATCATAATTTTATTACAACATAACTTTATTCACACACACATAATAGGCCATTATCTACACACTGAATTGCCTATGGGTTTTTCATTTGCCCGACAGAGACAAGGAGGAGGGAGGGGAAAACTGAGCAAGACTGAAAGGGAATAATTACTCCTCCAAGGCATCTGATCGAAACTCTGGTATTTTTGGAGGCCTGTGATTGCTCTTCTTCCAGTGAGTTTGTATTGTTCCAATGAACTGATGAGCTTGGTTACCAATGACCAATGATGACATTAAATCCTTACAGATCAGAAATGGAATTGTGTTTTCAGGAGGAAAGGCTCTGATGGGATTGGATTGAATGTGATTTCAATTTAACAATCAGAAAACTTGGCAGAAAATTTGTACAGTGTATGATCACTTGCCTGGCTTAAGACTATAACAAAAGAGGCAAAGAAAAGTGTTATATCCTTTTTTAGCTCACCTGGGCTGAAAGTTCTAGTGAGCTTTTCTGATCACAATTTTTCTGTAGTCTGTCTGTCTCTCCGTCTGTAAACTTTTCACATTTTCAACTTCTCCAGAACTACAAGGCCAATTTCCGCCAAACTTGCCACAAAGCATTTGGGGGGGAGGGGATTCAAGTTTGTTCAAATGAAGGGTCACACCCTCTTTCAAGAGGAGATAATTATGAAATAGTGTAAATTTGGTGTCATGTTTTAAATATCTTCTCAAGAACCACTGGGGCAGGAAAAATGAAACTAATGTATGAGCATCCTTTGGTAATGAAGATTCAAGTTTGTTCAAATCATGACCCATGGGGTGGGGCCACAATGGATGATCAAAGTTTTACATAGGAATATACAGGATAAATCTTTACAAAGCTTCTACTCAAGAACAACAAAGATGTGATTGATCATATTTATTTGGAAGCATCCTCAGGTAGTGTAGATTCCACTTTTTCAAATCATGACCCCTGTGAATGCATGGTGTGGGGCCACAATGGACGATCAAAGTTTTACATGGGAGTACATCGGAAAAATCTATAAAAATCTTCACAAGAAAGCCACAAAAGGTCATATTCATATGGAAGCATCCTCAGGTAGTGCATATTTATATATGGATGCTCAAAGTTATATAGGAAAAAATCTTTTAAAATCTCAAGAACAACAAAGCCATGACTGGTCATATATATAATAAAGCATTCTAAGATAGTGTAGATTCAAATTTGTTCAAATCATGACCCCATGGGAGTAGGGTGAGACCAAAATAAAGTTCAAACTTATAAGGAGTCAAACAAGTTTGTATTAAGTATCTTTAGTTTGTGTAGATTTAAGTTAATTTAAATCATACCCCCCCTTTTTTTAAGGATAGGTACTAGGAACCAGTTCTGCATTTAAGCTTTTAAATGATGGATTGATTTTTGCTTATTCCTAGCCACAGTAATCAGGTGAGTGATGTGGCATATGGGCCTCTTGTTCTTGTTACTTTATGATTTATATTGTTACTTACTACCAAAGATTCTTTCAATCTGGGTAAGAGTAACTTAAATCTGTAGATAGGGTCACATTCTGCCTGGTTGGCAGGTTGTTGTGCTGCTGCGCTCTGCGGATGCTGAACATTTGCCTGAGCTCCTCCTGTTTGTCGCAGGTGCTCGACTGAGGACGCCATCTTGAACATTGGATACCAAACCCGAGGTATAACCCAACCGAAATGTGCTTAAAAAAATTAAAAAGATAATTACAACAAATGTTTTGTTTATAATAAGACAATGAAATTTATATTTGATATTTTATGAGATCATGAAAAAAATTATAATGTGCATAATATAATATATTATTTTTCGCTGAACCATTCCTTTAATATTCAGGGTAGTTTGGGTTATTAGCCTAACCATTAATGAAAATGTGAAAGGAAACTAAAAGAGCTAACAAAAATGCCTCCAACAGTACAAACAGGTCCTAGAGAGGACAGAGACAGAAAAAGACCTGGTCAAGAGAGAAGGTACTGTTAGAGAATAAGCATTAAAAACTGAAATTTTACTTTGTTTCATGACTTTATTTTAAAGCTTTCTATTCTCTGTCATTTATCACCCTAAACAATGGGAGTAAACCCTTATTTACAGAAAAATACCTACAAGTCTATAAGATTTATAGGATTTGTTTATCCCATGGTTTCATACTTTGAAAAGAATACCTTGTGCTTTCAGATCAGAGTTGGTATGCAGAGTGAAATATAACAACACACTACCAGACATACCATTTGACCCTAAATTCATTACATACCCATTCGAAACAAACAGGTAAGGTAGAGCTGTTATATGCATTGAAATATTGCAAGTCTCAAATATTCTGTTCACTCTTGCAGATGTTAGTAATTTACAAGTCTAATTTGTAACATACACAGTGATTGCCACATTATCTCTGAGCATGCTGAGTAGTGAGTACCTAATTCGAGATTCTTCTGACTCTAACCCCCGCTTTTATATTATGACTCCCCCGCACAAGTCATAATATAAAAGCGGGGGTTAGAGTCAGAGGAATCTCGGATTAGTGAGTACCCAGAAGCGAACACCCCACATTACTCTTCAAAATATTTTTTGATTTGTTTCTTGTTTGATATACCTAGTAATAAATGTAAACATTGGTTTAATATTTAACTACTCGTGACAAAAAGTGCCTTTATTGGGCTTATATAACCATGCCAATAAAGAGAACATATCAAATCAATGTACATTACGTCCAATAGACAACTTTCACATACACAGAAGTTATTTTTGTGGTGATTCTTCAATCATATTTGCAATATTTTTCAATCATATGGTACAATTAGCAACTTGTTCAATCAGACCAGACCAAATTGACTTGTCCAATCAAAAAATAAACTGGACACGGACAACAGAAGGACAGATGCTAATGTTGAACCTTGAAGTTGGCATGCATAAACAGATATGGTACCTGTAATTATGATTATGTAAAAGCAAAATAATTTGTCCCTGGCATATGAGAATTTAGATGCATGTTTTAATGTATATTGATATATAATAACAAAAACATAAAATTTATATTTTCCTTTACTCTTAGATTTGTGGAATACAAACCAACATCATTGGAGCGCAGCTATAAATATGACCTTTTAACTGAGCATGACCTTGGTGTCACGATTGACTTGATTAACCCGGATACTTACAGGATAGAACCAGGAGGTCTGCTATATTAAATTGTTTTTAAATTTTTGTTGCCTGTTAAGTTCATGTAAGAAAGATAAGGCCATAATAAATAAATTGCTAGATTCTCATCCGAATTTTTTTAAAAATCGAGGCGGGCGGGTGGCTTTTATTTTATATTTTTTATTTTTTCAATTTTGCAGATTTTTTAATGACCCCTGGTCAATCGGTGTAATTTTATCTACAATACCCGAATAAAAGTCATAGTAGAGGTTCAATTATCTCTTACTTCACATCATCACCAATCTTTTTCAACCAATGACCCTTGTTTAAAATATAAACGCATGTATTACAGCAATTACCATCTTTTCAGCTGTGAAAATCATGTCGACTTTCGCGGGATTTAAAACGAGAGTAGAATGGTAGATGAATACTGATCCCGATCAGAATTAAGACGAAGAAAAACAGAAATAAAAAAAATCGAGGCGGGGGTATAAAATCAGGGCGGGCAGGGATGAGAATCTAGGAATATTTTTATTATGGCCTAAACAAAAGCGCTTTACTGTCTTGGGAAACCTTTTGGGAAAGATCCATTATTGCATGATTATGTAAGAAAAACCATGATTGAAATTAATTATTGCTATTACAATTTACAAATGAATTAATATCTGAATGCCTATAAATTTTACCAAAAAGACTGGTGAAGGGGGAAAAAATCATCTTTTTCAGTCTTGTGTATGTACTTCAAATTTTAAAAAATATCAACCATGCTTCCTGAAATGAAAACAGTTTGATAAAATAGGGGGAGATTAATGCTATACATGATAAATAAATTGAATTGTAATTTCAGTGTACTTAGACCCAGAAGATGAAAGACTACTGGAAGAGGACCTTAACACACCCACAGATTCCAAGAGGTTTGAGTGATTAAAGTTTGTCCTTGACTATCCTCAGTATACATAGAATAAGTAGATCAATATTGGTAACTTACAGGGGTAAAACTTATTCTAATTAGCATATTGTTTGTCCTTTTGCAGATCTCGACATCACAATACAAATGTGTCCTGGTTACGAAAAACTGAATATATCTCCACAGAATACAACAGATTTACACAAAAATCAGATAACTCAGAAAGAAAGTAAGTAGTTATTATCATATATATTTTATGTACTTATCAAATTCATTTGAAAACATGCTTTTGTGTAAACCAATGAAGTAAGTGCATGTATATATTAGTATATTTTATAAATACATCTATAATTGCAGTCTAAATCCAATTTTAGTTTTTAACACCGATGATGAATTGTTTATACACCTGTAGTAGTAAATTATTGAAAAATGAAATCTGTTTTATAGAGTTGGATTTAAGATAAAACAGATTATGAAAGATGAAGACATTTACAAAGATAGAGCAAGTCAGATACAGGCCATTGATAAAACATTTGAACAGGCTAAGGAAGAGGTGAGAATGCTGTTTTCATTAAGACAATAAGTTTGAAATATTTAGTTTTTGACATATACATCTAAGCACCGGTAAATGTATTTGAAAATGAATTCATGCAAAGGAATACATGAATATGAGGAGTTTTAAGGAACTGAGTTTTATTTTTCTGTTGATAGATAACTAAACATTACAGTAAGCCTGGTGTGACCCCTGTCGAAGTGTTGCCTGTGTTCCCAGACTTTGATGTAAGTTTATTAATTGAAGTATGTTATAGTTCATGTATTTTTGTGAGCCACATATATTCAATTTACGTATGAATAGTGTACAAATGTGGAAGTTTCACTGCAAAATAAATTGCTGGAAATAGAATAAAACATTTACATTTACTAATTTACATTGTAGCTATGGAAACACCCATTTGCCCAGGTCATATTTGATTCTGACCCAGCACCTAAAGGTCGACCTCAACCTGCTCAGATGGAAGAAATGTCACAGGCCATGATCAGGTTTGTTTGATTACTATAAATCACTTCTAGGGGAAGGTGGTAGTGATTTTCAAAATAACTTCAAATACTATAAAATCACAGATTTTTGGGGGGTGAAATTTTTGTAGTTTCATGAAAAACTCTTGGTTCGTGGGGATTTGATTTTGTGGATGAAGAATTATTGAATAGTTATGTATGTAATAATTTACATTTTGTGGTGGACATGAATTCATGGGTCTCTTCATACCTTGAAAACAACGAAAATTAAACCCCTACAAAATTTGTGATTTCACAGTAGACAGCTGTTTTACATAAAGCTCACCTGTGCTGAAAGCTCAAGCAAGCTTTCCTGATCAAATTTTGTTCAGCGTCCCCTGTCTGTCTACATCGCTTTAAAAACTGTTCATATTTTTGAATTCTGAAGAACACTCGGTTATTTTCAAACAAACTTGCCACAACGCATTCTAGGTTAAGGGGATTCAGGTTGCTTTAAATGAAGGACCAATTTTTCTTAGTTAAGAAAATTCAATTATGTCTCTCAAAAAATTTATGAAGAACCACTGGGGCCAGAAAAGATGATACTTAATTTACATTTAGTTAAATCAGATTAATAAATTGTTGAAAAAATGACAACATGCATGCATTAGCTGAGCATAACATTGATATTTACATATTATATTCTTTCAGAGGTGCAGTAGATGAAAACAATGAGCAGTTTGTAGCCTACTTCTTGCCAACAGAGGAGACTCTGAACAAGAGGAAGAGGGATGCAGAGGAGGGCATTGATTACAATGCTGACGATGAGTAAGGCTCCAAGATTATAGATTAATTTTGGTCACACTTTTTTGCTCTCATTGATAACTTTGAATAAATAAGGTCATGTTCCATGGATATATTGCATCGTAGGTTTACTAACTATTATTATTTTTAGGTACGACTACACATTGGCCAGGGAGTACAACTGGAATGTTAAAAACAAACTTTCCAGAGGATACGAGGAAACATATTTCTTTGTCTTCAGGGAGGATGGAATGTATTACAATGAGCTGGAAACTAGGTAACTAATACATGTGATAAATTGGACGTAGATGAGATATCTGTCCTCTTTTGTTTGTTGAATTTTCATGTAAGTTGCTCTTATGTAAAGGAACTACAAAGGAGATAAAATTGTCTAGTAGGTTTTGATGAGACTTTCTTCCTTTAAATTCAGGGTCCGCTTGAGTAAGAGAAGAAAGGTGGGAGGTGCCCAGATGGCGAAGTCACGTTTAATTGTTAAACATAGAGAACTGAATGAAAGAGAAATAGCAGCACAGGTAATACGGCCTTCTGTGGCCTTTATTTACAGTTACATTGTACATTACATAACGGATACAAAGGCACCAATGTTGATAAATTGAGTTCTTGGTGGGTTTTTTTTTTGATCATTTTTTATGTTTAAATAAAATGAAATGATCTCTTTCTCGATTTTATGGTAGAATTTTAAGGGTCATAAAGGCATGTATGTAATTACAATGTATATAAATTTACAAATGAAATCGTGTTTTTAATCCCAATTAACATATATAATGTTGACTGATAGAATGCTCGACTGACGATGTTAGAGCCACAACAAGAAGAGGAGGAAGAAGAAGAGGTACAGGAGGAGCAACTGGCAGGATCAGGTTAGTTAATCAGTTAATTAATCAGTTGTTGATTAGTTAATCATATGACAGTTTGGTCAGTTATTTAACTTTATGCATAAGAATTGGAAATAAGTGATAAAAATTGTCAAGTATTCGGTAACTATTCAGTAATAAAATAGTCAAACCTGTCTATACATTAACTATAAAAATATAATTGTTTTTAATTGCTTTTTAACAACAGTATAATGATAACCTCTGATTTATTTTTAGATGAAGAATTCCACAGTGGAAGTGAGGCAGGAAGTGTTAAATCCAGTGGCAGCCGCCGCAGCAGGTCAAGGTCAAGGTCACGCAGTGGCAGCCGCAGTCCGTCTCGCAGCAGGAGTGGCAGCAGAAGCAGCAGTCGATCGTCACGTAGTCGCAGCAGGAGTGGGAGCAGAAGTCCCTCCCCCGCACGGAGTGAGAGTGATCGGGGCAGCGAGAGTGACCGCGCCAAGAAGGAGGAAGAAGAAATCTTTGGATCTGCCAGCAGTTCTGATGAAAATTAAGACAGTTCAGCAAAAATGTCAAAGGGGGTAAAAGTTCAGGGGCGCAGTAGCCATTTAAATACTGTTATTACTGAAAAACATTTTTTTTGTTTTTTCTTAAGGTTAGAGATGCTTTTTCCCAATTTTTTTTGAGACTCCTTTAAAGTTCATGTACAATATGATAAGTCAATGCTGTCATACTCTGGAGAAAAAGCTGCAAAGAAAATTTGTATTTTTAGGACTTTTCGGAATAGTAGATAATTTTGCTGTACATTTTAAATTCATTATCATGTTCATTATATCATGCATCTCCATGTATTGTGCGTCTCATGGCTGTAAATAAATGATATACTTGTACATTTTGTTTGTTAATTAATTTGATAATTGATCCCTGTGAGGTATGAAGAGGTCCATGAGGGTCATGTCCACCTTAAATGTACAAATTCATATACATGTATATAAATGCAACAATTCCTCTTCTACAAAATCTTATTCCCCCCAACCCCCTTTTTTTGCAAACTTAAAAAATTGACTACACAGAACCAGATAATGGACCAAGTTAAAGTTTTGGCTGCAGGTCTATTACCAAGAAACTAGAAGGCCCATCTTAACCAAACTTGCATAGATGATGTTTCAAGGAATGAACACTCTCAAACTTGCTTCAGATGCTGGGTTTGCATTGCATTTTCTTGATGGTGACTAGTTAGAAGTTTTAAAATAAGTCTATTTCCCAAGTAACTGCAATAACTATCAGATCAAAATTTCATAAATTTTACATCTTGGGATGTAAACTTTTAGATTACTAGTATTGGTTTAAAGGTGCATGGACACCGATTTGAAGTTAATATCTTCTGTATAATATTACGACTTATATATTTTGATAGCATTTCACACAAAAATATACTGTGTACAAGATTATTTCCGCCCCCTATTATTTTTCCTCTTTCACTCTTACAAACAATTCTGCCCCGTTTTAAATTCGCCCATTCACAGTTTTGTTTAAGAAATAATACTGTGTTCTTTTAATTCGCCCACCTGTAAGTAGGACGAAAGGGACGAAAATAAAATGGGGGCGAAAATTCCCTGTATACAGTATTACAAATCTTGTTTCATCTAAAAGTTATCAAAACTTCAAATTTTTAGACGGGTTAGATTGATACATCCTTGCATTTTCACAAATTTTAATTCTGTTCTAAATACTAAGAAAAATTGGCAATCTTGTGTATAAATGAAAAATATTAAAACTTTAATCCAGAAAATTCAGAGTAGAAATGTTCGAAAGCAAAACATACACACAGTATATTGTCAGTCCGTGCAGTTGTGGTGAGTAGAATTTAACAATTGAACGCACCCGGTGAATCGTAAACATCAACAATAACAGAGCTCGTCCTGTTTATAAAAATTATACGTTTCACGGGTGCGATCAATTTGCTAAACGCTGCACAGAACACTTAGCGCGGAATGACGATACTTGTGAAGGGGTTTTGCTTTCTAACTTTTCTACTCTGATTATAATTATTTTTCTGGATTAAAGTTTCAATATTTTTCATTAATACACAACACGATTGCGACTTTTCCTAAGTATTAAGAATATAGAAGTAAAATGTGTGAGAGTGCAAGGATGTGTTACTCAAACCCGTCCAAAAATTTGAAGTTTCAATAACCTTTAAGATGAAATTAAATTGTTAATATATTTTTGTGTGAAGTGCTATTACAATGTATAATTCTTGATATTATACAGAGATTATTAATGTGTCCATGCACTTTTAATGTGTGACTTTGCCTTACATAAAGACAAACATTCGTTGAGGTGAGCTCTGTAATCTCCGATTACCTATGTTTATAAAGACTTTTAATGTGTCCATAAATTTTGAAAAGTCGGAGCTTGGGCTTTCAGATTTAACATGCATATTTTAGTGTCAAGTCCTTTCCCTATGTGTCTTAATTTTGACCTTGGAATCTGGCCCACTTTTTTAAAACTTTAATTCGGGCAATAACTGCTGAACAATTACTTTTATGGCTTTTATACTATAAATCACTAAATTTCTGCGACACCTTATTTTTGCGAGATAGTCATTGATTCTTTATTAGCGAGACATAATTTTCATGAATTGTTGTTATTCCTCTATATAATCGTAAGGAATACTTAAGTCTTTTATACGCGAGAATGAAATATTCGCGAGCTCATTGTTTCGCATAATTACGCTAAAATAAAGTGTTTCACGTGTTTATTTCCTTGTGACAAGAATTTCCTTAGCATCCGTAACATTTTAATTTGATTTTGCTAATCCCATTTTTTAATATAGCATAAGCCTATGAAAATAAAACTGCGAAGGAGGGGGGTTGGGGTGAAAACGTTTCAACTCGCATCGATAACACAAAAGAAAAAAAGCACAGTGACTCAGAAAAAAACAGAACAAAACAGACAAACAAATCCTTTGATTCGTGTTAAAATGACTTAGTTTGCGTGAATAAGCACTGAAATTTACGAAATTACTCGGTTTTGCACGGTTTATAAATATTTTCGTTACATTACACCTCATAAAAGCACAGGTACTTTATGTGTTAAACCTTTTTCTTCATTGAAAAAAATTCTATATACTGTATGGCAAGTCAAACGTTGCAATATTAGATCTTTTCCATTTGTATTGTAAAAATTTCCATTTGTATTCTATAATTTTCCATTTGTATTGTATAATTTTTTATTTGCATTGTATAATTTTTCATTTGCATTCTATAATTTTTCATTTGCATTCTATATTTTTCATTTGCATTGTATAATTTTTCATTTGCATTGTATATTTTTCATTTATATTGTAAAAAAAATCATTTGTATTGTATAATTTTTCATTTGTATTCTATATTTTCCATTTGTATTGTATAATTTTTCATTTGCATTATATCCGAGGGATAGTTTATTTTGGTTTGTTACGAAGGATTTCATTGGTTTAATCTAATCATATACAGTGGGGCCTCATTTATCCGGACGCTTTGCTTCCTTGTAAAGTCCGGATATGTGAAGCGTCCGGATATCTGAATTACCAGTTAAACAAGACAAAGTAACATTAAAAATTTCTGTTCCCATGACAAGTCGTCCGGATACTGAAGCATCCGGATATCTGCAGGTCCACTGTATCGGATTTGGTAATACCCGAGATATATGTTCCGGGAAGTTTACACGTGTTATCCAGTCTGAGCATAGACTGGCTTGCCTGTCTGATCCTCGATATACAGACATGTGACCAGTAATGTAAAGGGCCGCGCTCATTGGCTATCAATTATAACGGCCGATGTCTCTGCACTCTGTCGCATAGGCGTCGAAACCGGGGGGGGGGCTAGAGGGGGGCCTAGCTAGCCCCCCACTTTTTTTGCAAAAGTAGACATTATATAGGCATTGAAAATTGGGATTTACCTTTTTTGGTTGGTTTAGTCCCAACCCCACCCCACTTTCGATTAGCCCCCCCCCCCACTTTCAATTTGCTTCCGACACCCATACTGTGATCTGTTTTTGTTTCCCCGAGACGGAAACCAAAACAGATCACAGCATGGGCGTCGGAAGAAAATTGAAAGAGGGGCTAATCGAAAAAAGGGGGGGGGGCTAAACCAACCAAAAAAAGGTAAAAAGGCACTCTCATAGGCGTCGGAACCGGGGGGGGGGGGGGCTTCATAACAAACGAAATAAACAATCCCTCGGATACAATACAAATAAAAAATTATACAATACAAATGAAAAATTATACAATGCAAATGAAAAATTATACAATGCAAATGAAAAATTATACAATGCAAATGGAAAATATAGAATACAAATGAAAAATTATACAATACAAATTTAAAATTATAGAATACAAATGGAAAATTATAGAATACAAATAAAAATTGTACAATACAAATGAAAAATTATACAATACTAATGGAAAATTATACAATACAAATATAAAATTATACAATACAGATGGAAAATTATACAATGTACAATACAAATAAAAATTATACAATACAAATGGAAAAGATCGAATATTGCAACGTTTGACTTGCCATATAAAAGTACCTAAAATTCTTATAAATGTGACATATACCTATCTTCGGAAGAGTAGTCTTTCTCTATGCTCTATAGCTACATACGTTGCTGTACATGTATTTTAAACGCAACAGAAAATGCATGATTCCCTCGTTCCTAACCACAGGCACTTGTTTCTGTAATAAATTTTTGACCCATAGTATAATTATACTATGGGTTAAAATTTATTCCCGAAACAAGTGCCTGTGTTCCTTACTGATGAATACTTCGTACATGAGAGAATGCAACATCTTGGAGTTACTTGCCCTTGAGCGAGTGAGTATTGTTTTGTTTTATGTATCCGCAAAAAAGTTTTTTTGTCAGTGTATTGACCTTTTTGTTGTAATAAAGCGTTTATGGTTTTAATAAACAGATATTTTGCACTTCAAGCACAACGGTTTGGTACGGTCGTTATGCCGAAGCTAATCCCATCTTGATCAGCGACATTGTCCAATGAAGAGCGAAAACCATCGACACCAAAAAAGATGACGTTTATTGTGGTTTATTCACCAATTAAAAGACCATATCATGATGGTTGAAGAATATCTTCTTTCATTTGGGCTTAAAGAAGTGAACTTAATTAGTTCGGCGATTGGTAAACAATTACTCTACATCTTTAAAAAACGCCAATTACGTGTCATAAGATGGGTAAAACGTGCAAACCATACACGGATATGCAAATAAGTTTGGTCAGTAATGAAGTTTGAATAGATTTCCTGTTCCTATCGGGTAGCTCGTATACGTGGTTTAAATGTTGATTTCTTCATAGGATATCCTTACGTCGATCCTTTTTTGTGTCGTCATTAAAGAGGGGTTAAAAGTTGACACTCCCGGAGACATAAAAGCGAGTTTTGTGCCAAAAGCATATCGAATGACAGGACTGGCAACACCTCGGCTATGATATACTAGGCATGTGTAATGCATTTTATGCTCCTGAAGATCGTGGTCCGCCCGTCTATCTGTAACGTTGTAGATAGGTCACAGACTTCCTGTGGCTTTTATAACTCTTAGAGTTTATGTAAGATACGGGCATCCCCAACTATATGAGTACATTTGCTAAGGGTATCCTGGTAGTTTGTGCAGGAATTATTGTTTAAATCATAACCTCGTCACATAAGCTTAGGATCTTTTGTTTTTAGCATTTCTTCGATCAGAATAACACGCAATAAGTCTAATAAGAAGGAGTTGGCAGCTTGTTAGACAAAGTTTTCAAAATATAGGAAGCAAAGTCTCATCTTCGCTATAGAGAATCTTTGGTATCGGCTTCAAACCAAAAGTTAAATCAAAGTAAAATGTG